CCTTTCTCATTTTTGTAAGGTTGAAATCAGCCTTCAAAGCAGTTTCCAGCCAGGAATGAAATTAGAAGTGGCCAACAAGAGCAATCCAGACACGTATTGGGTAGCTACGATCATTACAACATGTGGACAGCTCTTACTGCTTCGTTACTGCGGCTATGGAGAGGACCGCAGGGCAGATTTCTGGTGCGACGTGATGACAGCAGATCTTCACCCCGTTGGCTGGTGTACGCAGAATAACAAGGTCCTGATGCCTCCAGATGGTGAGTGCTGCATGTTTTGCCAGGGTCATGCTCTAGTATTGGTCTGATGATGAAACTCCAGACTTCCAGTCAGTCTGGAATGGGTCAGTCTCCAGGGCCTCAACTGGTGTTGGGTGATGTGGCTCTGCAGAAGTTGTTGTACAACAGCTCAGGGTCAGGTGTCTGCAGGTCAGTGGATGATTCAGTCCATCTAGAAAAGGAATTTTTCCCTAGCTGCTAAGAACAAAATCAGTTTCTGTAGGAAGCTGCCTTGGGAAGTGTTGGATTGCATTTTTTTTTTCTGCTGGAGAGCAGGGAGAGAGTTATTTTATAGTTCTAAAATGGAACAACCATTTTTTTTTGGTAAAATCTCTGTTCAGTTTGGATGTAAATAAAATCAAAATTTGCCAGTGAACTCTCCAAAACTCTCCGAAAGTTTTATTCTGCAAGTTAAGAGCCCTCCACTGCCAGATTCCTGCAGCTTTTGATTCCAGTGGGAGATACACAGATTAAAGCCAGCAAGATTTGGGCAACATCAGTTAGGGCACATCATGATTGTCAGCTCTTAGATGCACAGAAGCTGAAGGCAAAACCTGTAGATTAGTGACCCATATGGAACAGTTTCTTTAAAAAATATGACTTGCTTTCTGCTGTATAAGAAAAATGTTATCTAAAATCTGCTATTGCCTGTGAGCATCTAGTTTGTTCATGGTCAGGGAAGCAATTTAGCTTCCAAGTTATGCATGTGTTTAAGAAAAGCCTGATTTAAGGATTCTGCTGATGATGATTCTTTATTTTGTTACACGTGACCATTGAAAAAGCATACATGTTATTCGTGTCTTGTGTGGTTTCTCCTGGTTTCACCTCAGTTTCTCCTGAAATGAGCTGTTGGGGACTGTCCTGGCTCGAATCAGGGCTGAAAGACTCATTCCTGTCTTGCATATGTCTCACCCTGAGATGGGCTGTTATCTCTGGGCTTCTTCTGGTCTGACTGTGTCTTCTGAATCAACAGAGGATTGACTGCCTAAAAAGGAGGGAGATAGTAAAGAAAGTCTTTAAGATAGATACAGCTGAGAAATCTGTGGTCTTAACACTGATAAATCAAGATAACGTGCGAAGGATTAGATTTTTTTTATTGGTCTCCTAAACTACCTTTTATTACGTGGATTGTAATCAGTGTTGCCAGAAAGTGTACAATGCGGTAAACTAAAGCTCAAAATGCCAGGGTCAAGGGGTGAGAGATTTTATTGACTGTTGTAATAGAAAATAATGATTGTTTTATAACTGGAGGCAACTGCTTCTCATGGAAATGTTAGAATCTGCTCTTTGGGTTGTTGCCACTTCCATGTGTGAGGTGTCTTGCTTGGCTGACCGCAAATGTGCAGCATGTCATATATCTGTTCTCCTTGGGCTGGCAGTGCAACTGTATGCTGCAGTGGACCCAAAATTTGGACAACTGTCTTGGTTCTTTTTGTCTTTATTTTTGTGTTTGTTTTCTACCATCGTCTCAACGAATAAACTTTATTGAATGATTTTAGTATAGTTTTCAGAAAAAACAAATTAAATCTCTTCTGAAATTGCAATTTGGACATTTAAGTTAAAGATCTAAGAGTTGAAATTGTGTTTGCAAATGAGATGTTCAAAAATGCCCAGGGGATCTGAGCCTTCGGGACCTCTTTCTCACTCGTGAAAAGGTAGAGGTCCAAAATGTGTCCCTTGTGAAAAGGTAGAGGTCCCAGAATCACAGTGACACCCATGAGTGTTTGCCCCTTGGGTTCAGCCCTGAGTTCCAAGGTGAATTTTCAAAGGACATTGCTCCCATTCAGGCTCCTCAGTGAAGAATCTGGGTTTTCAAAGTGCTCCTTGTCTGTCCTAGGGAGAAATGGTCTCAGACTATTTTTTAAAAGTGGTTTATGAGTACTAGACTTGTTGTACTCATGTGTCTGGAGTTACTCCTGTGATTTTTTTTTTTTTACATATCTGGAGTTACTCCTGTGATATATTTTTTTACAGTCGGTGAACATGCCTGCTCTTGAGGCAGATTTCGTTGCAGTCCAGAGTTTTATCTGGTGAGGCCTGCAGGACCTGGCGTTACATTGCTATAGGAGCAAGTGCTGCTTTACCCAAACACCACCCAAGTGTCTCGCTTTTAGCATCATGCACTCTTTTATTGCCAAATCTTTGGAAGAGCTGAAAGTCAGTTCCCAGTCAGTGCGGTTCCCAGGGCCTGATTCTGCACAGTTTGATGACAGACCGCTACACGCAAGCGGTGTGGCCAGGGCCGGTTAGCTGTCATTAGGGTTTGTTTTTAATAAGGAGTTGAAGGCTCTGGTTAATAAGCAGGTCTGCACAGAGGAACTCATGCACCTGGCAGGATTCCAGCAGCAGGACAAGGCTCTGTTTCTGCTTGCGAAGCAGATAGGAGTGATTGGCACAAATCATGCAAATGTGATGCCAGACAGCACTGCTGCAGAGCGACTGGGCGACGAATTTCGTTAGATGGGAGAGAGATTGGAGAAAGGGGAGGGAAAGAAAAACCACAAAAAACACCCCATTCAGTTTATCAAATCAATGGAGCTTGATTTAACGTTCAGCATGGAGAGCTTTCAAGGGGCAGCTGCCAGATAATTATTGTTTATGATCCTAATAGACGGAAGTTGTTTAATTTACAGACTGTTAGGTGGTTATTTATGGGGTGACGTTAGCATTGCATCATGGTGACTGTGAGTATAATGTCAAGTCACGTTATGTCCCTGCCATGACATTCTGGTACAACAGGGCCAAGGGCCAAAATACTCTGTTTTGCAGTAAAATGCACTGGCTTATGGAAGGGCGGCATGAATGTGTGTGTGTGGCTGCGTGCTTCCCCCCACCTCCCTTCCCTGCGTGAAATCAAAGGAGTAAAATTGTAGTTACTGCAAGCTTTGCCATTAATTATATTTTTCTCATTACAAATCGGTGTGTAATTTGAATTGCAAACTCAAATATCCTGGCAGAATGGATCTGTTTACCATTCAAAGCAAAATGAAAATTATTTAAATTAGTTAATGTAGAACTCATTTGAATGAGTTGGATGTTTATTCATGAACCGGCTTGAGGAAAGTGTGAAGCTCTCCTTATGGTTTCTGGCTTTGGCACTGAGCAGTTCCGAAGTCACGTCCTGGGACAAAGGTTTCTCCTTGCATATTAACCGTGGGTGCAGACCGATGGGTAAATACTGCCGAATGCAGCTGAATGTGACTTTTTTTCTCATTTCTGTTGAGGTCCTTCAGTGGCAATTCCTTTGAGGAAGGGCATCTTGATGCAAAGTTCATCAACTGCGGTGGTAATGTGGGAATTGGCTTCTGCCCTCTGTGGATAAGGGGTGACTTAGGTGACCATTAGTTAGTTAAAACCTTCTTATTTTGGCCCACTTTGGGAATATGGCAAGCTTTTATAGCTTCATGTGTCTAACCCCAGAACCAGCCTCCTCTTCAGCACAGAACTGAGGTGACTGTTGAAAAACCATCACCCCCCCGTGTCACGTTACTCACTGAGCATTGAAAATTTGTGCATTACCCCTTGTCGGCTAGAGGAGACGCAGATACAGTTGGCCATGTCAAAACTTGGGATATGAAGACCCCTTGGTTTGCATGATCCATGAGAGTCTACTATGTTGCATAGTCTATTTGTGTGCAAAATAGGAAATAGATGAACAGACTGATTAAAAAAAGAAAAAAAAAAGTTAATCCCATGGTAGGAGGCACTGTTTGGCTTTCCAAAAGGAAGCAACCAGATCTTGCCCACCTCTGGAGCTGCTCTCTTAGAAGATGCGATCGTGGGTGTATTTTAATGAAAACCAACTTTCCCTTGTTTCTTTTCTTCTTCCTGCCTCCTTCCATGCCTCCCAGGATATATAATTTTAACAGTGCTTGCAGCACCATAATTAAAATTTAGGTAGAGGGATCAGATAGGCAGCATGCACTTTTGTCTTTGAGGAGCTGGCTGGTCTCCATCGGCTTATCGGAGATAGTTTTGCTTTTCTACCAGTGTAATTAAGAGCAGATTTGGCCCTGGTTTAGCTCTTTTACTGGAGGCTTACCTGAAATATTACTTCCTAAGAGCTTGGGGCCAGAGAAAATCAGTAGGCACGCACTGAGTTTATACTGGTTTACATCAGCTACGAACCGGACCCCTGAGCCAAGTAAAATGAAACTCGGAAATCTTCTTTGGCAGGTTCTGCTGCCAGTATTCCTATTGCTTAAGTATTTTATGCAGGGTTTTTTTTTTGTCATCTTTGCCTAATCCTTATCTTCTTTTTCCATCAAAACCAAGTTGAGTCTGACCTAGTGTAAATAGATTGTAGGATTTCTTTATTTTAAACACTGCAAATGACTCCTTGTACAGTATTTTGTGTGCTTTTCAAGTCTGCCTTAGCAGAGTATTAATTATGCAGGGGTGACGTTAGCATAAATAACTAGTCAGCAAATAAATGTCAAATATTCTATTAGCATAGTAGGCAGCTTTATGCACTGGCGCAGAGCATTTAGCAGATTATTCTTAACGAGCATATAAAAAATAGCTTTTTTTTTTTTTTTGGACGTTTTTTCTCCTTCCTGAGGTCTTCTAATGATTGCAGAGGGCAAGAGAAGAGAGGAAGGAAAAGCGGTGCCAACTTTGACTGAGCAGCACAGGGTTTTGGGGCTGCAATTTACCCTAGTGTAAGTATTGCTAGTTTGGCTCCACTGGCAGCAGCTGGAAATTGCTGGGGTGCATCGAGGCTTGGCATCTACCCCCCTGCAGCTCCTCACAGGGGCATGAAAAACAAAAATATTTTCATTATGGTGCCCACGGGAGTTTTTTCTTCCTCTGCTTGGTGTAGTTCAGGCCCTGAGGGAGCAGATTGGGTGTAACGAACCTCTGTGTGTTTTTTGGGTGTGTAGGTGGTCATTGATCTATGGTGGAGATGTGGCATGGCATGACTAAAGGAAAAGGCCTTGAAAAACATGCAAGTAGGATGTTTTATTAAATGCATTGTTTTT